GACAATTTTAAGACCGACGGATATCTATCAGACAGACAGACAGACAGACAGACAGCGTGGGATATAGGAAGGGAAAACAAGAGTCTGATAACCCAAGTGTCTTCCCCACAGTGTCAGTGTGATAAAAAGTAATGTCAAAGTGCGTGATGTGATTGGTTAAATACGATGTATGCTGCAGAAAAACAATTGCTGCCCGGTTTGGTATATTCTGTGCAGGGCTGCAGGCATGCTTTAATAAACATGTGCGCCATACTGGAAGATCTGATTTTGTTTGGGCTTTAGGTTGTTATATATAGCGTTGTTTTCAGAATCAGGCTTGAGCACGCGTGGTAGGCCTAAAAGTCAGAAGGTCTAACGATTCCATGGCGTAACGCAAGGTCATTTTCAATATGCCCGTTGGTTTTTCCCTCAAACGCAACGGGCGACCGGAATTCAAGTCACATGAATGATGAAGGCACTGGCCGTGTATATATTGACAGACCACTTACTGTTAATGAAGGTGAGGACGATGGTAATATACGATGGTGCCATTAGCTCCCGTCTTGATAATGCAGTTACTTTGCTGGATGGCGGAGGATATAGCCTCTCTCCATCAGATATCATTAGAGTGTTTATACCGCCATCTGTGATAAGTATACTCGCACTGCGCATCCTTGAGGATGATACCCACAACTGTGAAGTAGCAGAATCCTGGACGACGCATAAAAACCATGAAACCAAGCATTACAAAATCACTGGTGAGAGCATATTTCTATCCTCAGAGCTTTCACTTATAAGATAGGTATCGGTGACCCAGGTCAACACTTTTACGCGTGCGCAAAGACATGCTTTGATATCATGGCGTCATATAAGATATCCACAATACGTTGCGTTTCCTTCACATTTTTTAAAATAAACTTAGGAGATTGTGAACTGTTCGTGTTTTTCAAAATGAATTTGCCATGCCATTCACATGTACAGCCAGTCGCAGATGACTTTTTTTTTTATCAGGACAGAGATTTTTGTAGAGATCTCGGTCATGTACTGTAATTTCGCTTCGTTTTAAGTGCCGTGCGTCCTCGCCGGTGACATAGATCATGCACGCTGCATGCACATCACACTGTTACTGGAGATAGTGTCTGTAATGGGAGGGAACGGTAGAGGGCGCTGTAGGGTCCCCTAAGTCGGGGGGGGGGGGGGGCGGCTAGGTGGGGGCCGGGGGCGGGGAACGCAAATGTGTCCCCGTGTTACCATTATTAGCGCACTAATGACATTGACCAAAAGTTTAACGGAATAAACTTAACTTTACATGGTTTTGGGCTTAATAAGTATGACTAATCATGGGCGTAGCCCCCCCCCCCCTCTATTATTTTGTAAAGACTGTCCTTTTCCATTAAAGAAGTGCCCTCAGTTTTGGGTTTTTTTTTTTTAACAAGTGCCCTTTAAAATAAAAAAAAAGGAAGAAATGCCTTTTTTGTGCCATCGACCGTTCCGGGTGTCTTTTTGTTTATTTAACCCATGTATCGCGCGCCCTGAAAAGCACCAAATACATTGTCCATTATAGTGTGCATAATCGTCGGTTTTGAACCGCGCCCCCATCGACAGATGGTACCCCCCCCCCCCCCACTCCCCCGGCTTTTTGATTTTATGGAGGTCAAGTACAAGTGCCCTTTTCAAGAAATGTTTACCCCCCCCCCCCCTCCCCAATAAAAATTACCGTTCTACGCCTCTGCTAGTATCTTGGAAAAAAAATTGAGGAACACCTAACGTGATTCGCTCGTTATCGTGATAAATCGTGATAATTACGAGCATATATATCAAATTAAATAAATATACGATTTGCAATACGAAAAAGATAAACATATTTATTTACATTACTACTCAGAATTAGAAAATATATGTAGGCATTTTCACTGAACCGTATAGAAATGACTTAAAAAATACGGGGACTTAATAAGGAAAGAAAAAGAAAAGAAAAACATCAACTCAACAAAAACAGGACAGATCCAAAAGAGACAGATTAACGGACAGACGGTGAAAACGAAAGCAGCTCTTGGTTAAAATCAACCAAAACCTAATGACAGAAAATAATGTATATGTACATTGAACCTCAGTGGTGAATACATCTACATCATTGGGATATCACTCTTCTTGCGGTATGCAAGCCACGCCATGGCATGAACACACACAAACAAGTATCTTTTGCCCAACTTGAGACGAGTCCAGTGCGAGCAGTCGGCGAACATACACTGCCCCCCAAGAAGTAAAATAAATACTGTCCGACCGCCCGAGTTCGATGGGCTAGGAATGATCTACTTCGTCTGGGGATTTCTGGTGCTACTGACGAACGATGCCGACTTTGGCGAGGCTGAGAGCTGATGTTGTCACCCTTCTCCTTTGGAGCTTTCTTTTGCCGTGGCAATCTTTTTTTCGATACAGATTCCTTGTAGGCTCTTCGACTTTCTTATGACGGCGTATTCGGTGCTTGCCTTACCCGACACAACATGGCTCATGCATTCCCTCTTTTTCGCTTGCTTTTTTCGTCGACCTATTGCTTCTTCTTTCTTCTTGAAAAAGGTATGATCAGGTGCGTCTGTATCAGCTTCGATGTTGGCTGTTTATCAGCTTGTTGGCTGTGAACGTCTTCTTGATTCTCAGCGAGATTGTGTAGATCTTCATCATCAAGTGCACTTACTTTGGCACTTGTTGCTAACTTCCATGATATGGCAGTAGTTATCTGGTTTGGGCTTGGGTTGGCAGAGAACCTTGGCCGGGGTAAAAGTGGAAAGCTGAACTGCTGAGGCATTGAATGGGCAGATGCCCGTCTCTCCGGGAAGGAGCCCTGAGGGTTTGAAGGAGGAAGGGCTTTGACATATGCCTTGCATGCTAGACCGGCAATGGAGAACTTGTGAAGCCCAACTCATGAGTTTTCTCTCATGTGTTAGTGGCATTCGGAGTTGTAGATCTGTTCAAACTGACCAAAGAAGCCGACATCGAGAGGTTGCAAAATATGACTTGTGCGAGCCAGTAAAACGAACAGCAAGATATTATGCTTTTTTCGCCCATTCTATCAGAGGAAGTGAGATGTGGGATACGTGGCAGTCGTATACAGCACAAGGGCTCATCGTCTTGATCTGGCGGGGTGTACCGTAGGAAGTGGCTGGTACCGGTAAGGTAGGTCGTAAAGATGTCGAAATTTGACTACCAAGAGTCTGAAACTGTACCTTCCATCCCAGGGGAGCAACCTGACAACAAATTCTTGTCTCTTCATCTTGCATGGGAAAACAAAGTAGGGCGGTATTTGTTGCCCAAGGGCATTGCCACAACCCATTATTGTGACGGTTGAGCCCTTCCCAGATGTTGCGGCGGGCGTTAGATGTTGCTGCCGTTATGATGCAAGGTGGGGAGTGGTTGAATTTCAGTCCTTTCTCCTCGATGTTGTAGATCCTCTCGGGTGATCCCTTGAGATTGTACTTCGTCATGATTGCATCACGCTCAGTGTAATAGAGGTAACAACTTCCTCCAAGGTTGCCTTTGCCCACTGTAGCTCCAGGCCTGTTGGTTGTCTACCTTCATAAAATTGTGAAACCACCTCAGGGGCAACAGCAGTTCCATTGATCTTTTATCGAAGGCCACGCGAGGTGTCCAGGCCCCCCCCCCCCCATCTCCCTCACTCACCGACATGGATTTACATCACTGTACATTGCTACATGTGCTTTAATAGACAACATCTTTGGTTTCATTTCCAGCCTCAAACTCAAGTGTCACTCCGTCAACAGAACTGAAGGCTTTGGGGAGATTACCATACAGGTTCTACAATGTGCTAAATAATAGAGTAGAAACCGTACGACCAGTTCTGAAACCTAGGCTTCACCTCAACTTCGGCTTCAGGGCTCCAGCTTCATAAGTTAAGGTCTCTGACAGAACAAAGTTAGTTCAATATTTGCCCCCAGTTTGTACAACCAAGCCAAAGTTTTTACGTCTAATTGGTTCATGTGTCAATTGCCTGTGCATTTTGTTTACACGGGCAAGAGACAGAGCCCAAGCCAGGGATAAGCCCAGGTTTGATAAATGGCCTATTGGTCCGTGCTTTGGACAGGTCGAAATATTGAACAAAATTTATCAATTGATGATACGTTTAAGATGTGACAGAAGAGATACATTACATGCTTTCAAATGAGGCATTGCACACACAAAAAATCAAACAACAGATTAAATGTTTCACAATGTCAGTAAGAAATATTGTTCTTGTAATGTCAACTGTATTTATGTATATTAATCTTTGAACATAAACAAAACAATTAGTTTTGGAAGACCAAATACAGTCCAAAGTCAAGTGTACATACATGTACTTGTTTCATTAAAATAGTTTTCATCCATAATTCGTCAGCATATGGGAAAATCCAGTTTTCAGGAAGGCATGGATATATTTCTTTAAAGATGTACTGTCTGATATCTTTTCAAGTTTTGTCCCCCAAAATAGACTCTCTTTTAAAATTGCTGTTTCTCTGGCAATACAAAAACTATCAACTTTTGAATTCTCAACCAAAACATTTAACCTACATTTTGAATTATTTGCAGCCAGAAAACAATTCAGTTCTTCTCGGATAGACGGGTTCCTGCCCCTCTTTTTGAATCAATGATTTGGGGACAGGAACCAGTCTACTCCCGGGGTTGATTTGTTTGCTTGAAACCTTTTTTTCAGAGGGTTGCAGAATACAACACTTTATTTGTTTAAATGAAACATTGGGAAAAATTGTTTGGAAAAAAATATATATTTGTGATGCGATCAAGCTAAATGAGTCATTTGTCGACCCTGTCAATTTTTTTTTACAGATTTGAAAAGAGCACAATTTCAGCATTACTGCTGTGAAAACCGCATGCTGGTACCGTCTTCAGTTCAAAAATTATGGAAGTCGGAACACCAAGAGATGTGATGAAGTGATGTGATGAAATTGCCCTATTTTGGCCTGCATCTCCAAATGAAAGTTCCTGACAAACGACTCATTTAGCTTGATCGCATCACAAATGTTGAAAGTATACATTTAAATTCAGGATAGTTTCACAGTACAGCATCAAAGCCAGTTCAAAATTCACTAGCAGGGCAAGAAAATGACAGATAGGATTTAGAAGTTGATTGGTTCCAAACCACCTGCACATCTGTCACAATGGTCCGTGGTCACCTGTTGTTCTCTCTCTTGATCTTGATTGGCACATCGCAGTAGGGACAATTGCCAAATATGGTATTGAAGCCATATTTGGAAATAGTCTGGTGACCGGAAGGTAGAGAGCTCAACCACTGATAACAGAAAAGGAAATACCAGTGTGAATAAAAAAAAAATTTCAAACGTTTAAAGGTGATGACTCGATCGTATTGAACATTGCTGTAAAGCGTGTCATATGAAAATCAGACTCCTATGAAAATCGGACTCCTTTACCCTATTATTGGTTAAACCCTCTCACATGACCAGTCACTCTCCTAATTATCTTCACTTAAGCATGCCCGATACTACCAATGAGTCTGTATTTCAAAGAGTCCTAAATTCACGCTACGCTGGCTTTAGAAAAAAATGAAAATTGGTTCCTGATTCATCAAGCTCTCCCAACATTCAAAATTCATGGTTGCTTGGAATCCATGCAAAAGTATCCCATCGATTGGAAAACACTGGACAGAGATCCAGGTGTCAGGCTTGTCAACCCTTGAAGTGGAACTTTTCACCCCAAAGTGGGGTGCTGTGGTCCAATGGTTACGGTGTTCAACTCGTGTGCTGTGGTACATGGGTTCGAATCCTGACCATGGGAACATGGTGCTTGTGCTCTTGAGCAAGGCACTTTACCATTATTGCTTTGTCCTTTCGATGGGACGTAAAGCCGTAGATCCCGTGTGTTGTGCAATGCACGTTAAAGAATCCAGCAACACTTATCGTTAAGAGAAGGGGTTTGCCCCGGTGTTTCTGGCAGTTGCTGCAATATGCACCGCAGCACCTTGTAAACCATTATTAGGTGCTACATAATGGGTCTCATATTTCTCATACACTTTATTTACCTTTCTTTAATAATAGACATATCTCCAGCGCCTTGAGTACCTAATTGTTGGTAGATACATGCGCTATATAAGACTCCAGTATTATTAAAGTGCGCTGTATCATACTGATGCGAGTTGTATGATAATTCTACAGAAGGACATTGGTATGCACAAAGGGCGTTGTACCAGTAATCTACATCGTTAGGCCACGCATATGGGTAAAGCAGAACTCATTGGTAAACAGGGGGATTCATTCTTGGAGATTTCAGCCATTTTACTTTTCAACTGAGGAATTATATTTGGTTGCTAGATTTGAGGAATGTGCTAGCTGTTTCAGGACTTTTTTGTCCCACAGACTTGATCGGCTTCTGCCTACTTTTTCCAGGATTCACATCTTGCAATCTGACAAGTAGGGCTGCTTGTATCTCTATAGACCCATGTGTAATGAAAGGATAAACTTGAAAGGAAGCCCCACTAGTTTGGCACAGTTGCTTGCACGCAGTGCAGTAAGTATTCAGACACACTAGGGGTGCCTGAAGTGTGCTCTCAGAGAAAACACTCTTTTGATCAGACAAAGAAAGAATTAAGACCCAACAAATAAACACTACCTCATATAGACAGCTGTAATGGTAAGGCTTGTTGCACTGCGGATTGTCGCATGCACGGTCTGGTATGGCGCCCTCAAGTCTGTATGAGTAGCAAATTCCGCATTCTTCGCTGAAATCCTACGACAAACATAAAAACATATACCATGAACGCTAACTCATCATTTGGAGATATTTAAATCAGAATATGGTTCTAATTTTCAAATTAACCAAAAACCAAAACTGAACTGACATAGGTTAGATTGTGCTATGATTAAAAACAAATAAATGTTCAAAATGTCTCATTTTGGGATCGAAGTAAAGCTGCTATGTGTATAATAAACTGCTATTTGCACCCTGGAAATGGCATCATTACCGTTTCCTCATTCGCTCAAAAATATGGTCTACTGACTGTTACAAAAGGCAACTTTTCTCTGTTCAACTCACTGTTATCACTGTCCTCACCAAATTGTGCACAGAGCCTTTGTGGTTGTACCAATTTTGTAATCCAGGGGTGCGTTCCATCAAGGCAATCTCTTCATCAAATGGCATAATGATCACTACCTGTGCCGTATACAGTTGTGATAATCGTGTTGATCCAGCACTGGGTGTTGGCTCAGCATGTTTCTCACAGTTTTTACCATGCATCACACCATTGAAGGCCTGCCTACTTCCTACTGTGCACGGTGCTATATCATGATCTTTGCCTCCTACAACGGCAACGCTGACTTTCCGGTACCCGGAGGTAGGCCAGGTCACATGTGTCAGTGAGAGAGCCCTATGGGAAATCGTTAGGAAAGTCTACTTTGAACGCGCCCACGTTTTACTTCTGTTCCTCGTAATGAAGTATTGTTGTGCTGAAGAAACAGCGAGGAATATTTAAGATAAATAAGACGTACCTCTCTACTACTTGACTGGGGAGACGGGAACTGGATGTCTAGAAGAGTCTTCAAGTTGCTCAACAGACTCCTTCCGGTGTCCCAATCCTTGAGGTTGGCATTCAACTTGTCTCGCATAGGATTGATGACTGTACCACAAGAACACAAATTACCAGAACCAGTATTATGTAATGCAAAGATATGAGCAGGTCTCATGACTTCAAAAGAACCAGACGTCCCACTGACATAAAAATTCTCTGCTAAAAATTGTGTCAAAGACCAATTCTTTATGCAATCTTATTGTGAATTTGTATAATGTTTTTCAGAAGACAAGGTTGTACAATTGGTTTTCTGCGCAGTGGTGGATTTTTGGGGTATTCAGGAAGGCTCCTAGCTAAAATGCCAAGTGATTTAGGATTGGCCCCCCCCCCCCTCCCAATAAAAAAGGATTGTTTTTCAGTAGTTTCTTACAGTTGCTTCTAATAGTCAATATATATATCCAGTCAATATATGCCTGAACATTTCTGAATAGATTTGAAAATATTTCTAATCAGAAGTTGGTCACGTTTGTACCACTTAGAAGTTGAGCATGGCTTTGCGGACTTGTGTACTGTATCTTTTTAAGGACATCAACCCTAATTTTAGCTCTACCTTCCTCAATCCTAACAAATACTTCAAAACTCCTGGACTTTAAAGTATCTGAGAGAGTAAGGGTTGATGCATATGGAGGGTCAAAAGTGGACAACCGTATTTTCCCATTTTCTGCTAGTAGAATTTTAGGTTTTTTGAAATGGCAACAGCGGATTTTAAAAATCTCAAGTTTCTACTCGCAGAAAATTGGATTTTACTTTGACGACTTTCTCAGCGGCTCAAAAGTGATCAACTAAAAATCTGAAATTCTTACTAGCAAAAATTATGATGGTCCATAAGTGGACAACCCCATTTTCCCATTTCACAACACCCGTTTTGAAAATGTCAATTTTCTGCAAGCAGAAATTTGAGTTTTACTTTGACGGCTTTCTTGACGCCTACGGATGTTTAGATGTCCATTTTTGAGGTGTCAAGAAATTGAGAGTTTTAAAATCCAGTGTTGCCGTTTCAAAAAAGATAAAATTCTACAAGTAGAAAATGGGAAAATGTGGTTGTCCACTTTTGACGCTCCATATGATGCATCACAAAATAAATTAATGCTGATGAGTTGACAATACCATGGTCAGCACCGAGGAACTTGAATTCTGGGAGCATCTTTGGGTAGAGAGGATCAACTGTGACTTGAACGGAAGAGTTGTTACCTGCAGGAGAAATCAACAGAATAAAAGGCAAACCTGCTAAGTACTCAAAAGGTCCGATGCCGAGCTTCAAGCTCCGGGTCCAAGTCTAAGGCTGCATCTGATTTACTAGACTATGGCTAGCAATTACACATGCCTCTATGGAAGTGGCTGAAGCCAGATCATATAGACACTTGTGTTACTGCTAGCATAATTAGCCAAGTAATTCAGACATGGCCAAAGTCTCAAGTGTTAAGCCTGAGCTCCCAATCACACAGTTCAAAGCCTGAGTACAAGTCATGAGACAGGGAGGATTAGACTAAGTCAAAGTTAGATATTATAAAAGTGGAACTACATGTAACAAACACATTTTTTGGTCAAACTCTTTTTAAAGTAGTTTCTTCAAGGTTGGGATTTTAAGGAACACAAGTTTGGTGTGCAATCTGAAATTGATTTCTAAAAGAATTACACAAGACAAGCCTTGGACAGTTGGACTGGTACCTAATAACTTAAGCTGACCTTTCGGGTCATGCAAAAGCAACACAAATATTTGTTGGTGTATATACTGTGTGGTGCTTGCTAACCAAAACGAAAACAGTTTCCGTTGTGATGTTAGGCCAGGAGATATTTTGCTCCTTTGCACAAACAAGACAAAAATTTGAAAGTTGGAAATGTTGATGAACTAAAAAGAAAAATGATTTCATACCCAGAGCAATTCTCCTGGATCTATCTGATGGCATCGGTCTCTCCGGTTCAAGAACCCACGTCTGTTCATCAATCTCGGCCACGGTATCCCAGAATTCCCTGTACTTGCCCAAACTCTCTTCAAACTGGGTGTAGATGTCTGCAAGAGTGCTCTGGTGGATGAAAGTATGAGATATTTAACTGGCATGCAATCTAAGCACAAACTAGAAGTCAATGTAGCCTTAACCCTGCCAGGCATAACACAGTGCATCAGGTCTAAAAGTCTGTGGGACCTTGCTGTACTGGGCCATCAACACCAGTGCAATAAACAGCCAATTCTGAAACAATCAGAGCTAGATTCTCATGCACAATACCTCAGTTGTATCCTGCTGCAGTTGGTGACCACAGACTCTGAGGCACTTTGGCCTTGAGATTTTTGGCCTGATGGATCTTGCTTTACTGGGCAGGCTTGTCATTTTGACAACTGTTGCATGCTGCTACATGTATGTTCAACAGGGTGTTTAGCCAAAATACACTGGAGGGTTAGGGTTATTGATCTCCTTTTCCTATTAAAATGACACATCTCCTCCGCATGTAGCAGACACTTTTGAGCTAATACTCAGCATATTTTCATGGGTTGGCTATGAATGTTGGCTTGTGTGCATGCTTCTACATCCTGAAGCAAAAAGGGCCTTTCACTCTATCCACAATCTCTGTGTTGGACCCAGGTCCAACACAGAGATTTTAGAAACCCCTTTCACACTAGCAAGAATCTAACACGGCTTCTACCCGGGTAAAATCCAACCATGGCCAGGACCAGGGTTGAGAGGCTCTACCCGGGTAGAAAATCCAAAATCAAAAGCCAACCTGTGTACAATCCGGTGTCAGTGTGAACAGTATGCCTAGCCTACCCATGTTTGATGGGAACCGGATCTGTTTATGGCGCATCCGTGTTGATTTCAGCATGGATAGGTGAGACGTTAGTTTGAAAAGGCCTTAAGAATATACCGCTTAGTTGGAGCAGAATGAGAGCAGTAAGCTGGCATATCGATTTCTGCCAAATTCCTTCATATTATTAATAATGTGTATTTGTAAATCGCACGTATCCACCAGTATTGGTGCTCAAGGCGCTACATCATTATTACCCTGCTCATTGGGCTTATGAAACATTCCAAAGACAATCTCAGCTCCTTAGGGAGTATATGCAGCTCGGGCTGCCATTTGGGCACAAGGCAGCTAAAATCAATTACTATAACCATCTCTGCCCTGTCAGGTACCTATTGACTCCTGGGTGGTGAGAAGCAATGAGTGACAAAGTGTCTTGCCCAAGGGCACACCCACCATAACCCCAGGCTGGACTCGAACCCACAACCTGCAGAATTACCTGCAGACCACAAATTCAATGCTCCATACCAGGAGGCCACGGCACTCCACCACGAAGCCATGTCACTCCAATTATTAGGTGTCATTAGGTGTCATAGTCATCAACTACACACTTTAAATTATATTAAAATAAACAATGTACCTGATGCGTCCAATGTAATTCCAAGGTCTCCCCAGGCAAATCGGTGGTACAGGTTGGAGCAACAACTGGATGCTGCAATGCAGATGAAAAAACACCGAATTATTGTCATCAAAAACCAACTGACCAAGCACAGAACACTTTTCCACCAAACATGAGGGTTTCCCTCAGAAAAAAAGAAAAGAACATCTTTGCAATGCTTGTCCACCACCTGTCTATTGGTGCTTATGGTGCTGGCATTGGACGTTTCAAGTACCTTTGCAGATAAATGCCGTTGAAATTATTCTCAGCAAGTATGTTTGTCTAAATATTTCCCACTTTAAAGGTAGAGTAGATCATTTGGAGCTATCCAAAAAGTAACTGACCAAATTATTGTTCAAAAACTTACTTAGTTTAAAGATAGCAATACCACTAATCTACCTAAGTTGAAATTTTTCCTTCTGGCATGCACAAAAGACATTTTGAAGAAAACAATAAAAGAAGTTCACTTCCAAAGATGAGTCAAGTGATACATTTTTGAATATTTCCGTTAGTAGTTGGTCTGTAATTGGGCGAATCTGTGAATCGGAGCGCGCAAGCGTTGACACAACGCACATACGCGCGGTTGTTATTATTCGTCGGTTCAGTGCGTGATATCGCGTAGCTGCAATCGACTGAATGAGAACATGTTCCGGATACCGATATTCCAGTGCAATTCAATTATGACTGCAACTTTTGAATTAAAATCGAGATCCTAGAATATTGTTTTCTCGGAATATACAGCTTTCACGGAGCTAAAATTTCATCGGGTTAGTTATTAAGCACAAAGATTTTGAGCACTTTTGTTGCTTTTAACGAAACAAATGCAAAAAATGACAAATGATCCATTCAATCTTTAAACAGAAAGAGTTTTTTTCACAGTTGTGTATTTAGGATATAGAGTTTTTTTCCAAACCTTTTGTGCTTTTTGAAAGGAAGCTCGTCAATTTTCAAAGAGTGGTTTTTTGATTGAACAAATCCACAAATGTAATCCATTAAAGGCCTATAGGATCAATTGCATTATCCCAAAAGTAACCTACCGAATTATTATGAAAAAGCTTACTTGGATTAAAGATCGTACTGGTACTAAATACCCCGTCTGGCTTGCTGTCATTGAGAAGAAATCAACAAATGTTGATGATTTCCAACAAAACAATGACAGATTTTTGGACATGAAGAGTGCTATCATGAAGAAATGGGAAAAACAAATTCACTGTTTTTCCGATATTCACTGAGCTGAAACTTCAACCGGTTAGGTTTTGAACATTCTTCTTTGGATTTTGAGTGGTGTCATTATTGGAAAGGAAAATAATGAATGATAATCAAATGATCCTATATGCCTTTATTTGATACTTGATTAACCCCAACTCCCTAGCATGATTTACTAGGAACCATACCCATCCTGGCAAATTCCAACACCATATGGGAAACTGTGCACACATATTTCTGACTTTATTTCTGGAGGTGTGCCAACCCAATGTAAAAGACTGTCAGTTTAGGGGTACTGTACCCATCCTGACAGATTCCAACATAACATGCCGTTGGGGTTTGATGGGTTGAGTTCTGTTAGGGTTAATCGAGTAATGGCGTATTCGATGCAGCCCTATAGACACCATGTAGAGTTTACCTGGGGGTCTAGGTGTACCGTGATGTAATGCTTACTGCCATTGGGTCCTTCAGAGATCAACTGCAGACTACTGAAGGACGGATCGATGCTGGATAGTTTCTCCCAGCCCAGACGCCCAATGTCACCAATCACCTGGGAACACTGTGTTGCCATGGTAACGCTAGGCTGGGACTTGCTGGCCTCGCTCTGGTGTTGCATAGTGTGCTCCTGTATGGAATTTTTATTTTTAATGTCAAGTTTTTGCAAGTGTCTTGTGAAAACAATACCAAGGTTGGCACCAGACTATCTTGAATGAATACCCCATGTAGGTGCTGTAGACAGAAAGATGTAGATGGAGCTGGCTATAGACAACCTCGTTTCCATGGGTACGATCTTGTTGCGCCATGTTGTTTCCCATCATGCCTTGCGCAATCTTATCACCTGGATTTGTCTAATTTAATGTGTCAAAATATGACACATTTAAATTAGGACTGCAGTTGATGTATATGTTGAAAGTTGTGTTTTTGAAGAATCAATCCTTTCAAACATAAGGTTTCGATGTCACGTTATTTAGCAAGGATTTGTATTAAATGTGCGTACCTCTTTCGTCCCTTTACAACCGAAGATTGGGCGAAAAACGAGGCTGCCATAATCAATATCGTACAGGCCTCGCGCAGTTTCGAAAAAAAAGTTCATACGTGATGTGATGTGCAAAGCACGCGAGCGCATTATAGGGCGTGCAGTCTTCGAAATGCTCGCGCAGTACGCTCTGAATAGCCAGTCAGCATCGCTTATGTGTTCATCACGGCCAGGGGTTAGAGAAGGAATGCACACGTGCCCATGGAGTTGAGGCTGGGCTATAGACTAATTTGGCAACAGCCATTTTCTGTGTTAGCACCAGGTAGCATGCTCCTTCGTCCAATAGGGCTACCAAAATGCGCTTGTGCCTCGTCTTTAAATCACTCATGTACTTTTCAAGATACAGAATTTTAAACAGAAACACCATTTTAAATTGTGTCCATGGATCTCAAAAAAGGTAAGTGTTCTTTCAGCAAAATGAAAACAATTCACATAGGGATGTATGTGAATTGGTAGTGTTGATTGGTTATTTTGTATTTCCAACAATTCGATTGATATGTTTGGAAACGTTAATGACTTTTCTGCATTTTTGCAACATTGACCTTCCATAATTTGGCAACCCATGGAAAGGTCTAGGCTCAAGAGCCAATGTATGATAGTCACATGAGCACACAATCTACGTTATTTTAGTGAATAATTTAGACCAATTGTTGAACACATAAATTTCCGTCAGATACACTGACATTCAGACCCTTAACTACCAATGCCGCAACACTCTTGGTCGGTTGTATAAAATGTGGTGAGCCCAACGCCACTTACAAGGATATTCTTGAGTTCGCTCAGAAAAGTGGCCAGGTCTGGCGTGTTCTGCAATCGCTGTCCAATGAGATGACGGTAACTACGGAGATGCTGGTTCAGCAGCCAATCGCCAAGCAGCTTTGCTCTTCTGTGGTCCCTGTCGTCAGGCAGCTCAATCCTCAGATGGAGATCTTGTCCCTGGAGATTTATAATCAATACAAATGTGAAGTTGAAGACTTTGGTGAGAATCATATAAAGACAATTTGGAATTCAGCAACCGACATCATGTTCTCTTTTTTTAATGAAAAACTAACTCAAAGTCAATTCCAGTCCCCCAGACATTCGAATACTGAATAACCGCAAAGGAAAACTTGGGTAGGTTCGCTTTTAAAGGATACCCAGTTGAGCATAAAAAAAAAGTTGCCTGGAGCTGGACGTGAACCTCCAACCTTTGAAACAGCAAAGCAGCGTTGTGCCAATAATTGAGCCCAAGGTATCCAGCCTTCTGTTTACCGTCTTCAAAATACAAAATGCATTTTTTTGGCGTTTCTGCGGTTTCCATGATGATTAATATTATGAAACTATATCTACACAGTGATCCAAGCTTTGCATGATTGCTTACAACGTTACTAGCATCTGAAGACTGCAAACATATAGGGCTGGATGGCTGAATCGGTCAAGCACTGGTTTGGTATTCCCAACGTAGGTAGTCATGGTAGTCCCACACATGTGTGCAAATCGAAGTTAATAAGTTCACAATATTGTTCCACGGCCCAATTTCATAAAGTGCACGCTTCACTATAAGCATGCTCACCAGTGCGAACCTGCATGCAACATGCTCTCATATGTTGGCCATAATTGAGCACCATCTTCGTTCATCTTGCACAGTGCAGGGAGTCACTAAACACTAAAACAGCCAAGGCGTTTACCTTGACACAAATCAAGCCATCCCAGCAAGTCTGTTGTCGGTTGAGAGGCACCAGCCTCGGACAAACTTCATAAACGGCCTGGCTCTGCTCGAGTGTTGCCATAATAAACCTGAATTTCTGCATTGAAATATAAAACATAGCATAACAACTAGCTCTACTGAGTGGAGCGTTGAATTACGGGTACCCCTCCATACAAACGCTCCACCGATTTGCCATACTTTGGTAGCACTTACACGGTCGTCATGACGGTATGCATTTTGTGAATACCCCATTTTGTGCATGCCCTCGCGAGGACAAGGCCCAAAAAAACTGATAAAGAAAATACAAATGAGGAAGACAGTAACCCTGGATAGATCCACACATTCATGACATTCCATAAGACCCCTCAAATTGTTTCAAACAACCGGTAATTTTGAAAAAAGAACAAAATAGTCTGAACTTACCGCTCACAATTAAATGTGTCTGCCGAGTTGCACAGTCTATTTCAATGACATGATGATGCATAATTCATTGCGCGCGTGCATGACGTCACTATTGAAGAAAAACAAGTTGCGCTTACTCAATAGCTGTTTCATGTAGTCATATGTGCCCCGCGCCGTCTGACTGTGGGTTTTTTGGTGCGGGGCACATATCAGTACATGAAACAGTCATTGATTAAGCGCGACTTGTTTTTCTTCAATAGTGACGTCACACACGCGCGCAATGAATTATGCATCAGTCATGTCAGTGAAATAGACTGTGCAACTCGGCAGACACATTTAATTGTGAGCGGTAAGTTCAGACTATTTTGTTCTTTTTTCAAAATTACCGGTTGTTTGAAACAATTTGAGGGGTCTTATGGAATGTCATGAATGTGTGGATCTATCCAGGGTTACTGTCTTCCTCATTTGTATTTTCTTTATCAGTTTTTTTGGGCCTTGTCCTCGCGAGGGCATGCACAAAATGCATACCGTCATGACGACCGTGTAAGTGCTACCAAAGTATGGCAAATTGGTGGAGCGTTTGTATGGAGGGGTACCCGTAATTCAACGCTCCACTCAGCTCAGTAGAGCTACATAACACCAAATGAATACATATTGATGAATATAATATAAACCTCATGGTAAAAAACAAAATTGTAAAGAGTAAAGTTACGTTTGCCTGCCCTGATTAAAGCCAAGGCTGGATTCTCACTGGAACTTTGGAAGGAGGAAAAGATAGCATAATCATATTGGGTCACAAAGTCAAAGGCTATGCCCAATTAATTTACCCAATTAAACCGTAAGTGTTGAGCGGTAAGTGCATCGATAAGTGCATCTACATTGTACCTCCACGCTCTACCTGTCCACGGATGATGGTGTACTCACCTGATCACCACCTTCATGACCTTCGTTTCGTGAACACAGACTATACAGGAACAACTCTCTCGATTTAGGAAGATGAAGCACGCCCTCAAGAGTCTAAAGCATAAAAGCAACTTACTTTGGCAGCTGTGTCGCGTCGTGTACGTGTGTGCATTTCGCGTATACGTACGTAAACGGAGCGAGTGCACAGTGCATGCAGTGTGGATTAAAGAACTGAGTGTACACACATCATCAAGTAGAATAGTCTTTGCATGTCCTGAGACGTCTTGAGACGACTTTTGTGAAAACAGGCTACCGTCGAAGCCAGTGAGTGGACTTGGAAGTTTGTAAAAAAAAAGCAAAGGTAAGGAAAGAATTTTGCAACCTGACACCACTTGGAAAAAATGTTGCAACGTCCTGAGTGACGCGGGATGACGGCACTTTTTTTCTTCACACATGATCAGATGATGTAACACAAATACCAGTAATCAGGTAATGGCGATCGTGAAGTGTTGGGCCCGGTTCTATAAGGGAACAAAATCCACAATTATTGGACCTACCATTAGTACCAAACTAGTTGGCGACATTCACCGTATGTCATTGTCATAGATAGAGGGCAGGGTTTTGATTTTTGAGGGAAATTTGGGGGTAAAAAGACGATGACAGCACGGCGACAACACGCGACCCGAAAATAAAGACGCGCGCGTGATGTATACCGTGCGTGCTGAATCCAAAGGCACAAACCGCGCAGGAAAATTGTGATTTCTACCTCAAGAATCTGTTCAAAATTGCAAAACGGGTGTCATTAGAATTGAGAAAAGTCTGCTTTTGATTGTAAAGGTGAATTTTTAGCAATAAAAAACATTTTTGACTCTAATTTCATCAAAACGAAACAGGGGCCCTACACTTCACGATCGCCCTAGTAGCAGTTATATCATCTCAATCATGTCAATGAAGGTCAGTCATTGCAAAAATGATGATAAGACACGAATCTGGTCATGCTGGGACTATAGGACTGACATTTCCAATTTTGTTAAGAAATACTTAAAACAAATTCTTGACTCTCCATAGAGTTTGCACACAACCGCTGAAGTGGCATCAGAGTTGCAACATTTTTACCCCACTTTTTTCTTCATACATCATCTCAATAAAAAAAAGGCTTATTTATCGCAAATAGCAAAATCCGAGAGCATTATGGGAAGACTCAGGGATATTGTACGCTGTCAACGCGTACGCCCCAAGCCTTAACACGGCGATGACGGTGTGCGCATTCGAACACGGCGTTCGTGCGTGGTTCTTTGCCCCCTTATCCTGCCCATAATGTTTTGCGCAGCAGTGTATTTTGCTAGTTGCTGTAAGGCTTATCAATAACAAAATCTGAGAGCATCAGGGGAAGACTCAGGGACATTGACCGCGTACGTACGCTGTCAACGCGTCAACACGGCGGCGAGGGCGTGTGATTGATTCTACAAAAAAAAATCTAAAATTTATGCACTGTGTGGCACGTTAAATAAGTATACTATTGCCGACTTTTGAAAGCATTTGAACTTAAAACAGTGAAGTTATTACAACAACACTATTTTGACCAAAAATGGGCAAAACAATGAGAAATTTTACTCATCGTAACTCAAATTTCAATGTACCATGCTGAAGGTATTGGGATCGAATCCGGAGTTCTTTAGATATTCTTCTTTACCTTACTTTTTTGAATACGTTTTCTTTAGTTTTATGTTTTAAATCAAATCCTGCTTTTTATTCAAGTAGATTTCATTTTATTTATTTTTTTGGTAGTAATCCATGGCTTTGGAGGATTTTATTTTTGTAGGGAAATGAAGTCTGAGTCAATGAATTATATCAACAATCCAGTTGATAGTCTGGTTCAAGACCAAAAGATCCTGGCGGTGAATATTTGAAATCCATTTGAAATCTTAAATTCATGCACACAAACAATATGCATTACCCTCAGTTTTCCCCTTGAGAAATTGGTACACCCCCAGGGTGCCCCCCCCCCCCCAGCAGCTTAACCCTAGTTACACCGTTGGCTGTAACTATAGCCACAGCGTTTTGAAAACAAAAAGTCCAGCCCTAAAACCAATTTTTCAATGACAGATTATTAAATTTGCAAACTCACCCTGTTGGTCGTGGTAAACTGCCTTTTAAGGCCTTTTCACACTACAGGAACCCCAGAAACCCCAGCCCCACCCCAGCAACCGTTCTCTACATTTGGTAACTCCTGGGAGCACTATTTTCCGTGAATATGCACAGTCATTTCACTCTCGCAATCAAACCTAAATGTTTGTGGGCAGACAGTCGGCCAATTTTGAGAAAACTTTCCCGTTTCTTGTACAAATGTAGATGATGACAAACTGAACACACTTATTATTATACATTTGTATTCACAACCACATAAATTTTGCATTGCACACTAGATTTTTTTCCGAAAGTGCACACTTTGTGAATATTTTGTCGCAAAATGCGATGCGATACAGGGGAAATCGAACAAGGTGGGGAAAGTTAAAACCCGCATTTGTTCACACTAGTTGCTTTTTCCCGGGAAAAACGTTTAACCCCAGGCTTACATGTATCTCTCTTAACCCTACTCCCGAGCAGGGGTAAATATTTCCCGGGGAAAAGCTATTTCCCGGGAGTTTCTTTGGTAGTGGAACAGACCGACCGAAATTCCCCGGGAATTTCCCAGGAAATACTTGCAGTGTGAACGAGGCTAGATGACCAGACTAGTCTGTAAACACCATTATTGCAAGAAAGAGAGCTAACAAGCACCAGTTATGAGTTTGCGTTTTTGCTGCTTGCGCAACTTGAGGGAAGAGTTTGGATTGTGTCACTGAAATGAGACATCTTACAGATTGAAAATATATCCGACATTCCAACTGAAAAAAAGAAAGCACCAGTCATGAGTTTGCGTTTTTGCTGCTTGCGCAACTTGAGGGAAGAGTTTGGATTGTGTCACTGAAATGAGACATCTTAAAGATTGAAAATGTTTCCAACTTTCCAACTGAAAAAAAAACACCACCAGTCATGAGTTTGCACTTTTGCTGATTGCACAACTTGAGGGAAGAGGTTGGATTAGGTCACTGAAATAAGAAAGCTTAAAGATTGAAGCTGTAAACATGTACAATGTACTGTACATGTGTACAAGAAGATCAAATGGGAAATTTATAGCAGCACTCTTGGGTCTTTTGTTAAACAATTGTAGGGGATGATCTTAATCGTAAATTAGATATTTCAAGAGTGGTATGCTTACATGTACACACGTACATTGCAATGGAAAGTTAACACTGCGAATGGGAATGGGAAATTTTGTGAAAAGAATTAGCATTCGCATTTGCATTTCCTATTGCCTGAAAATGTTTTCTTACTTGTGTGAAAGGCTTGAAAATGTTTTCCCACTTGTGTGAAAAGGCGTGAAAATGTTTTCCCACTCGTGTGAAAAGGCTTGAAAACGTTTCCCACTTGTGTAAAAAGGCATAAAAATGTTTTTCCACTCGTGTGAAAGGCATGTAAATTTTTTCCCACTTGTCTGAAAAGGCATGAAAATGTTTTCCCACTTGTGTGAACAGGCATGAAAATGTTTTCCCACTTGTGTGAAAGGGCCAGAAAATGTTTCCAACTTGTGTGAAAAGGCGTGAAAATGATTTCCCACTTGTGTGAAAAGGCATGAAAATGTTTTCCCACTTGTCTGAAAAGGCGTGAAAATGTTTTCCCGCTGGGAAGAGAAAAAGTGTGAAGAGAAATTCCCAGGTTAACTTTCAGTAAGCCATTTGGGAGTAACCTACATACATGTATATGTACAAACCCTTTGGGATTTATATTTGAAAAACCTCTGGTGCACTGACTTGCTCAGAATGCTTGGTACATTTTAACTTTGAATTCTCCAGACCAGAGACATTGTTGCTAATCACATGATTTGGGGCAAGCTCTTGCATAGTTATGTACATGTAAGAGACGCTCAGCACCAATACATTGTTCACAGTGGGTGAGCATGGCACAAAGACACCAGACCATCCTGGAGCTGGGGGTTGCTATCATTTTAGCTTGCCCCGAATCATGTGATATAGTAACAGTCTCTTTGGTCGGGAGAATGCAAAGTTAAAACCTGCAAAGCATTGCATTAAGTCAGCGTTCCAGATTTTGTTCAAATTTAACTCGCAAATGGCTTATTGCAACGTACTGTACATGTACATGTACATGACTTCTGTCTGCATACATCTCAGAGAGTTTTCTCTATTATTTTAATTCAGTAATTAATGTGCAATGAATGCACGTTTTTACTCATGCCTACACATGTAGCTGTCAAAAGCATGCATACAAAAAACATTGCCCTCGGACTCCTGAACAGATAAGGTCTATGGTGAGATTTTGTTTGGGGAAAAAAACATAGTTTTGTGACAGTTTTGTTTTCAAGTACTTTTCCCACATCTGACAAGCTTTCTGAAGTATGTACATAAATACATACATGTACACTACCTGTACGGTACATGTACATGCATATGTACAGTACATGTATGAACATTTTTCACTTTCTGTCTAAAAAGCTGTATCCCTGCTCATTCAAATTACCACAGGCTTGTTGCAAACAGCCAATGTACAAACTACTGATACCCACTTTTACCTTTTTCTAACCATGCACATGGTGATTCAGAAAAAGCACTTGATTTGAACGCTGGGTGACCAAAACGTCACGTGAAGGGGGAAAAAAGCACAATCGAAAATAAAGTTTTCGAAAAGGGTGTGGAAGAAATTGTTCAATTGTAACGAATTTATGGGAAAAATTAGAAGAGGTAATTTTGAGTGATGGTCCAATATCAACCACAGAGAGCCACCAGAAATGACCCTCAAATTTCCTGTCTCCATATGACTCATTGAAGGCCAAAGAGGATGCTTTTACTGTACTTATACAGTACCCGGTACATAGCTACCGGTACGTAGAAACAAGGATGTGGAGAATTGTCAATGGTTTGGCCATAAACCAATGCTGACCTTCAGATGTGGTCAGTGCATACATACATGTACATGTACATGTACATATGTAAATTGTTTATTTTAAATCAGTTTAATATCAACATTTAGAGCTTTCCATGACAGTTTTAAATACTATTTATATTATAATGAGAATAAATTTAAAATACAGAGCTCTAGAAATTACAAAGCAATTATGAAAGCATATTCTTAAGAACTAAAAACGAATTCATTTTTTTTTAGATAGGCAATTAGAGGATTTTTAAGAATTGAGGATTGTTCCTAGCCAAAAGGGCCTGGGTGGTTAGGGTGAATCTGTTTTATAAGTTGCTTGAACCCTAACGTACCTGAATCCATCAAAATCCACACCCCTGTTTTGGAGTATTTCGGCGGATTCAGAATACTTCCTTATTGGAAAAAACATTGAGGGATTTTGATGGATTCAGGACAGTAAGCCTAGCGGTACTGCAGGATTTTGATGGATTCAGGATACCTCCATATTGAGCAGTTGGGGGACTTTGATGGATGCAGGATCTCAACAGTTTAACTCCTTGGCTGTATGTTTGGTGTGTACAAAGTACAAATGTATATGTAATACACTGGTGGATTCTGATGGACTCACTGGTGGATCCTGATGGACTCAGGACACCAACATTTTTTTGCATGACAAAATTGGTGGATTTTGGCAGATTCAGGATACTTTCTAGTAAAAGTGCTGAAGGGGTTAGGGTTAAATTGATTTAGTATTGTTTATTTTAACTTACATGTAATTTATTTAATTTTAGTATAATTCATTCATTTTCTTATATTGTAAATACTCTCAAGGCCCTCCTGAAAAGCAGTTTTATTACTGGTAAGGCCTCCATGCTTAAATCAAACTATGGAACAGTACTAATAAATAATGCAGTAGTTAACTAGTTATTTACACTGTAACTTTTAATTATGATCTTGATTTATTTGATGATGATATTATCATCTCAATCTGACCTGATATGTATCACATGTACATCACCAGATAATATACATAATGTAGGTCATTTTTTTATTCAATAACAGAGAAACAAAACTACTCATGCCTGATACCCTTACAAAAGCGTTGCGGTAGTGGGCCTGAATATGCCTAAGGTTAGGATTACCCCGATTGCAGTAAATCACCAGTGACCTTCTTTCAGATTCCATTATCAGTTTCGTTTATTGAATATGTAGATTAATAGTGAAATATCCCTTTTGGCTTTTGGTTCTGCCCAGGTACAGAAACCACCAATATAGTGAAGGGATCAGACCCAGTGCAGTCATTTGAGGTTCCTGCAGAGCAAGTAGCCAGAACGACTGATTCACATACCCATCCGCAGCGGCTGGGACAGGGGTGTGGTTGTGTTTTTGGAAAGAGGGTTTGAGGTCTCCTCTGTCAACAAACTGGACATCTAAAGTTTGTTCTTCATATTGGCGTCATTGGCATCGTTATTGGCATCGTTATTGGCATCACTACGGCAACACGAGTACACTGTGAGTAACTCTGAGTTTGCTTTTAAATACAATAAATGCCGGAGTAAAGTGTCCACCAACCAACCAACAAACCAACCAACCAACATTTATAGCAGCTCAAGGGTGCCAAGATGGCACTCGTCGGAATATTGATCTACATGTACATGTACAAGTACATGTACAGTATACAAGGTTCAAATGGCAAGAAAATGCAAAAACTAATGCGGACCCTTTTTCAAGGTCCACCTCCAAAGTGGGGTTTGAAACCCCGACTACCGGTATTACAATATAAGGGTTAAGTATGTGTAGGGTTTAGTTTATGCATGAAAAAAATCTTTCAGAGTACTACATGTATGTAAGTGCGCGAATAACGGGCACACAAAGATGTTACATGTACCAGCAAAATTTGGCAAGCCCAGTTATTTCATTAGCCTGTAAAATAACAGACTCTCGTGCAACATTGTGCATACATGTACCGGTATACATTGTACAAGACGAGGAAGATACCGGTACTGGTAATATTTAAGCCTTTACGTTACATTTGTTGGCTTGGGCAGGAACTACATGTACATGTGGTGTATCTGTGTCCAAATCGTTAACCTTAACTCCTTTACTGTCTTTTACTAAGTACTGGACCAAGTCCACCAGAATCCATCAATCACATTGCTTCCAATGTATGGCTTTGCTTTAGGCCTCCAGGCCCAAGTCCATCATACTCCATCAATATTTAGTCAGACCAGGCCTGCAGGACCAAAATCCACTAAAATCCACCAAAATGGGGGGATGGATTTTGGTGGAGTTGGGGCAGTTAGGGTTAATTCATGTAGAAAACTTGTGACACTATGAACCAGGAATGTCTGAAACGTTTTTGTTGCGGACACAGTTTGGACATTTTTAATCCCGTCTTATCGTACATTTCAGACATTTCAAATGTCTGAAACATATTAGCCTATCGAGAAACTGGCCATGTTAAGTTTTAGACATCCAGGTGACTGACCAGCCAGTTGTTTTGAAAGTCTTGCGTTTCAGATAGTTTGAGGTTTACGGAGTGTCTGAAGTGAAAGTGGTTGAATTAACAGGTTTACATCTCTAGAAAATAGATGAAGATACATGTACATGTACATTGTACATTAGACTTGTAATGGCTTATAACATCATGAACAACTTGACCGATGCCAGTATAGCCTCCTAGATTCAACCCACCTCATAGAATCTCTAGAAGTCCAGGTTCCCTTTGCCAAAACAAATTAGCCAGTTCGCATCAGATGACGTGTATACATGAGGTTTTGCAGAATTCGGAATGGATGACGGGAAAACACGCAACAAGCAAGGCCGGGAAATAACTGTCAGCTACCTGCAGACAATGACCGAGTCCTGAAATATGAGTGTGCTGCCCGGGGGTGATGGCTTCAACCCACCTGGCATTGAGGTCAAGTGGAAGATAATCCTGTGCCTCAGTCTGGTCCTTAAAATAATCCTGGCGTGAAGTGGTTAAGAATTCATATTTCATTTGTACTGCAAATGAATGGAATGCCACTCCAGGCGACATTGTTGCTTTTGCTGTAATGTACAGAAATGGATGGATTTGGGGTTAGCATTGTATAACACTAATATTCTTACACTAACCTGTTAAAAGTTTTGTGTTCAGGCATTCAAAATGTCTGAACATACACAATGTACATGTACTGTACCGGTCTGAAATGGTGACAAAATGTCTGAAAAATACAGTCGCCAACATTGTTTCAGACATTTTGTCTGGAAACAAAGCATTTCAGACATTCCTGGTTCATAGTGTAAGGATCCCTTTTTAAATACCGTAGTTTGACTAAAATGATTCCAGCAAATCCTACCCCAAAGTGCAGTGCTGTCAGTCACTTTGGCCCCGCCTCACAATCACCCTCCCCTTTTTACAGGCCCCAGTTTTTAATTTGCCATCAATAATCTATTTTGAAGCTTTATTAGCCAATCAGCCATGAAGCGTAAAACCAATTCTGAGGCTACACGTACAACCATCTGTTGACTATTTGTGTTCAGCTTGAGTGAGGACATCTGGTTCAGTTCCATTTCCTGAAGAGTTCATCATCGTGTGTACACATAGTGCCTCTGACGCCGTAAAATCATACGGTATAAACAGACTTTTGTCACCGTTTGTGATGTCAGTGTAAGTAATATTTGCATAATTGTTTTTCGATCAGATTTTGCTCAATACCTTTTTTTGTTATCATAGGGAGCGGTTGACAGCATCAGTCGTCACTTGATGCCCCGAATCCAGCAGCAGCGCAACGACGCCATGAGCTCGATCACTCCCAACTCCAGCCCCCTGGAAAACGGCTTCCTGAACGAGGAGGAAAAACTCAAACTGGCGGGCACCAGTCCGTACGCCGTGCACCACAACGGTGGCGGCGGTGACGTTATGGTGTTGGGAACCAGGGAAACCGGTAGTCAGCCCTCAACGTCAAAGAATAGCGCTAGTTCAGGAGGCTCTGACAAGAAGATTCGAGATCCTTTGGACGCGGAGAAACTGTTACCAGGAATGGTGCAGTCTTACAAGTCGCTCATAGCCAGCGTGGGGGAAGACCCTGACAGACAAGGCTTGAAGAAGACACCGGAGAGGGCCGCCAAAGCACTCATGTTCTTCACGAAGGGCTACGAGCAGAAAATTGAAGGTAAGAGAGGTCAACCGCAAATCACTTGTGTTGACTCAGGTGTTCTATCATTTTGCCGTTAATCATCTGAATCTCAATTTGATTACCGCCGGTGGCGGCATCAGAAAGGATCGCAAAACGGTCAACTGCCCCCAAAAAGTTATTTTTAGTGAGTTGTACTTCAGCAAATGTCAATCAAAGCTTGCAATTCAGCTGGTTTTTTTTTCCAGCTGGACACTTGAGGGGTGCAAAATGTGGCTATTGTTGTACTTCCACCTTCAGTAGCCACCTGATGATGCACCCATCTGCAAGTCCGTTAGTAAGGCCAAAAAAAAAAAATATTCGGTCTCTGGTCAGACCAAAGTTCCGGAATTGACGCGGCGACGCGGCTTTTTTTTTTTTCTTCAAGCTTGGATTGTACAGACAAGGTGGGGTACTATTTTGCTTTTTTGGTGTCCTCATGTACATTGGTGTCCTCCATAATTATCCTTGGTGCTTTCGATCATTTGCCTTGGTGCAATTTCCCATTCCTTGGTGCTATTTGGTAAAAAAAAAAAATGAGGAGGTGCGGCAATAGAGGGTGCTGTTGGAGCTACCGCTGACCAGAGACCGACTTATTTTTTTTTTGGCCCATCATACATTTTTTTTCTAGGAGCCTTACTGATTCCTCAAAAAATTCCCCCTGTGCTGCAACTCAATGATACAAGTTCACATGTAAACTTTCAGATGGCTTGTATATCAATGATGCTTACATATAAACTTTCTCAATGATACTTAAACCTGTAAACACTGGGATTGATACTAATTTTTAAAGGTACTTCAACATTTTTTCTGTAATTTTTTAGAAGTGGACGGCTTTGGGGTTAGAGCATTGTATTTTATACATGTAGCAAATATTGTTCCACTATACCTGTTTAAAATTTTGTGTTCATGGATGCCGGTAAAAAAACAAGGAAAAAATGCTGCTTTTGTAGACTGGTTCCCTGAATTGACGCTTCAGACAAAACGGAACAATTTATAGACGTCAAGGAATTGTCAGGTCAGGGAACCAGACTAGCTGACTTGCACCCGTTCACGACTTCACGGATGTGTAACACTAACAGATTGCAAACAAAATGTGGAATAATTAAATTTGGTCATTTGGGAGCAGTATTTGAAAAAGAAGGGTTTTTTTTTTTTTCAACGATGTTTCGGCAGAACGGGAAAGGGAACGGGAAAGGAAGAAAAAAAGAAATGTACTTTCTTCATCATTTAAACCACATGTAGATTGAGCTTCTGTGAGTTGTCACTAAAAAGCCAATATATTTGTATAAGATCAACTCCCTATGGGCTCCGTGCGCCAACAAAGAGGGTGCCCTATTACCTAGCAATGACAACCCATGGGCAGGACATTTCGCTGGTTGACGTGCACCGTTCCTTGTGTGTGATGCACGTACACCAGGGGATTTGTACTATGTACACAGAACGCAGTGGCCGCGCTTCACGGCAAAATTGCAGTCAGGCAAGATGGCGTCAGTCGGTCACCCCCAACTGTACTTTCTTTGCTGGTGAGGGGGTACTTGTGAACGGAGTGGATAGTGCCCGAAAGCAAATATAATTTGAAGTCTTCAAGGGCAATAAAGTGTCTGATATCCCCTACATATGTACATGTTCATGTAGGTTATTTTGGTGTCATCATACATACATGTACGTACTTAAAGAGGTTGAGGAATGCTCGAAGACATTTCCGTCATTTTTCGGGTATATGTAGCCTAAGGTGTGATGAAATAAAAACAACTATTGTTTCTGTCATAAAATGAGAACAAAAGGTACTTTTGAGAGCTGTTTTTCAAGTCCTGTCATGCCTGTTTCGACCCGAAGTTGCAATTTGTGTAAAAGTCATCGTTGCGGGCAGCAAACAAAACACAGTAAATCGTGACGTAATAAACAGGACTCCCGATGCAGAGTAGCATAAACGAGTCCTGTTTATTACGTCACGATTTACTGTGTTTTGTTTGCTGCCCGCAACGACGACTTTTACACAAATTGCACGTTCGGGTCGAAACAGGACCTGAAAAATAGCTCTCAAAAGTACCCTTTGTACTCATTTTATGACAGAAACAATAGTCGTTTTTATTTCATCACACCTTAGGCTACATATACCCAAAAAATGACGGAAATGTCTTCGAGCATTCCACAACCTCTTAAATGGCGTCATTGAGTTAAGCTGTCACTTTTTGAAAGTTTGAACAACCTGGTTGTGCAATGTAAATTCACAAACCCTATGAGGTTGTGCCCTTCTCCTGTCATCGCATGATTTGCTGACTGTTCCAAAACTACACAATTGTGACCTGTTCTGTCAAAAGCAGACGCTTCTGGGCACAGGTTGAAATTGAGATACCGGTAGGGCCAAAAAGCGCTGTGGGGGTGATTTTTTTTCGATGTTCAAATTTTTGCATATTTGTAATCCTAAACATGTCTAAAATATACTATAAAAGTTTGAAACCCAAATTTGAACTCTAAATATAGTATTTTTGATGATTTGTTAAGGTATAAAGCAGTTAAAGAAATTTTGTTTTATGACGTTCGTGGCCTTTTTCTCCGTTTTCTACTTTTCGACACAATGAACTACAAAATAGCATAACTCTGCCCAGGAATGACGGGTTTCAAAAATCAAACCACCTAAATGTACATTGTATTAAAAGGAAAAAGAACATATTTTAACATACATGTATGCAAAAATCTCATTTTTGACCTTATGCCAGAAAAGTCTGATTTTGACAGAACAGGTCACAATTATGTTGTCAACCCCATGAAACAAAGTTTCAAACATACCGGGTACAGAGAATCTATAGCATGATTCGTGACTTGGAAACAATACTGCTGCTTTTTGTGAACATCTTTCCGAGCCCACTCCATTTTGCATACGTATGGAAATTTGATATTCATTAGGCTTGTTTTTTTTTTCAACGTTAAAAACTTAAATTCGAATGCATTGATCATATAATTTACATCGATTGACTAAGGTTGTCACATGAGTGAAGAACGATTTAAAAAGTTCTAAGAATGGAACCGATTAAGTTGGGAGGGCCTGATTATGGAAAATATTTGTGGTGAAAAAAAGGAGTACATGTAGCATACAAAAACTCTGACAAAAACATCTTGTGTAATGAAATTCCGAATCTGCAACACATTTTTTTGCCACAATGGAAAACGTGCTGCAAAATAGTTTTAGATGGTTTTCAATAGATCTAGTTCTGCATCAGAGCTCACCTGCCTCTTTAAATGGTCTTCAATGTAAAGTGATATTTGTTAACAATGGAAAATGTGCTGCAAAATAGTTTTAGATAGTTTTCAATAGATCTAGTTCTGCATCAGAGCTCACCTGCCTCTTTAAACATGTTAAATGGCCTTCAATGTGTAACCAGGTCGGGTTGCAGTACTTACTTTTCCCCGACTGGTTCCTTACTCCAGCATTATTTCATAACTTTTGTAATTTCGTATTTGTGTCGATTCACATGTGAGCAGCCATTGCGATCATGCTTTTTGCCTAGCGCCCTCTCGCGGCCAACTAAACTTTTTTAACAGCGCGCGCCGCCTAGAATTTTGCTTAACTATGCGATGGGCGTAGCGAGCATGCGAGTTTTACATTCCAACGCGCTTTGTTTAAGAGGAATAGTTGACATTCCGGGCGTTTCGGTATAGTTTTCTTGTAGGGCCTGCTGCGGAATATTGTTGATTTCGATCCAACACATCGTTGCATTCAGACCATCTTTTACGAGCGCTTACACTCTCCACTTTTATTGCAATTTTGAGAGAGGCTCCCTATACTGCAGTAGAATAGTTTCATCTATTTTTTGCTGCTTCTACTTCGATTTTCACATCGGACACGGAGTAGGCATGAACGTAGATCTTCCCAAGTGGTGAGTAAATCCTTTGTCTGATATTTAACATTTTTATGCCTAAAACATTTTTATGCCTAAAACATTTTTATGCCTAAATCTTTTTATGCCATCATGTATGAAACATTCTGGTCTTTTGTATGTTGGTTTATTGCCAGAATTAAAGGCCGTCAAAACGGACATGGCCGGAAATTTGTCTTGTAATCACGACTGATTATTAACTTTTGAAACAAATCTGTCGTCGTGATTTGCAAGTATTTTTGAGAATGATTTTAATGATTCTCTATTTAATTCTTGCATGAGATGGAAAAAAGGATTTTTCTGTTGACTTTATTTTATACTTTAAACATTTCGGGTAAACACCGTCCATTTATTTAAACACAATCTCCTACTATTTTAATATTTTTCGGCATTTCGGAAAACAATGTTATCAAGTACTTTATTTTTGTGAACTTCAAATTTTCCTTTTGAAACAAACACAAATTGGAACTTATGAGCAACACAAGTACGCTAACTTCAACTTAAATTTTAGTGTTGCCATAATATTTACGTTCTCATTTATCTTTTGAAATAGACTTTTCCCATTTCCCCAAAACTATCAGTTTTCTATTGCTATGATCATTCGGGAATTTGTTATTAGGGCATGGTATTATATTCTGATTTCATTTTATAACATAACTTGGCGAATAATTCATTTCTATTTTTCGGATTTAAAATTACATTATATGTACATAAAATATTCATATTCTTGCATAATTGCCATTTAAATGATTCTCCATTTGGGCAACAGTCAGTTTATGCCACAGTAATTCCCATAATTCATTAGACATTTATTGTTTTTATGCATTTCAGATAATATCCTTGGAGCTACTTCATTAGCCATTTCCCTTTTGACTGCTGTTTTTATAGACCCAACAAAGTTCATATATATACTGTAATTCTTTTTGTAAATACTGTACCTGATCATTTGTATATATATTGTCTCAATTTGTATTATAAATAAACCATTTCATATTTGTGAGACAACAGAAAACATTCGCTCTACCCAAATCATTTTTTAGTGGAACCCCTCGGACATAAGGAGAGTGCCCCATTTTAAAACTAATTCCACTCTCCCCGGTTACACTTAAGGTGATATTT